CGCGCCGGCTCGGGAGCCCGGGGCACACTTTCCCGCGTGACCCCGTCCCCGCTGGAGGAGGCCCGAGAGGGTCCGAGTTTGAGGGACGGTCCCCCCGCCCCTCCCCCACCCCAGCCGCTCGCCCCGGGCACCCGCCGACCCCGGCGTCCTCCCAGACACAGGTCTCCCATCCCACGAGTCGTCCCAGAGCCCTGCCCTCAACAGGTGCCTCCGTGGGCTGCCTCCTTGCGAGGGAAACGGAACAGGTGACCCGCGGGGTTCAGCCGTGGCCTTGGGGCCTCTACCTGGCGAGACGTGAGCCTCCTCTGTCTGTCCCGGCGAGGTTCTCCGTGGAGTGCGCTTGTCGCGGGCCCAGGGTTGGGGTGCCTGTGTTACAGATGGGGACGGGGAGCCTCTGGGTGGGGTTCGCGGATGGGACCTCTTGGTGACAGCCAGGTCCAGCCAAACCAGGGACCTGGCGCCGAGCCCCTAAAGCCCGAGTTGCTTCTCAAGGCAAAGCGCCTAGAATCACAGGGGCCGGAGTGGAAGGAGTGTCGCGGAGCCGTCGGAGGTGGGGGGTGGGGGTGGGGTCACGGAATGACTACGGGAGCCACTTGGGACCACACTGCAAACACCTGCCTCGCTCATTTCTCCTGGGGCTGCCCGCTGCCGCCCAAGGTAGGAGGAAGCCGCAGCTGGTGCCTGTAGAGCTCATGGCACCAGCTCTGTGCCCTGGCTTCGCCCAGAGCCCTTCCTGGGTAACTGGGTGTGGTGTGAGTACATATTGATGTCTGCGTGCCCGGCTAGGCATTGTGTTGAGAGTTGAGGGGGGCAATGAAATCATGAGGTCTTGGTTAGTTGCAGTGGGGAAGCACAGATTGGAAGATTTTGAGGCCCGCTCTCTGTTAACCCCAGGCATGTTAACCTGTTAACCTAGCCTGAGTCTTGGTTTCTAGGTGCAGAAACCAAGGTCTTTTCAGAGGGCAGGAGACCCTATCATTCAGGTTTTCTTGCTGCTGCTGCTCTTTTCGAGGAGGAAACGTTTACTAACTGTTGAGGGCTCTACCTGTATTGGGGATGCAGAAGAGCCCCGATTAGAAACATACTCAGACTGCATCTTCATAGGAAAAAATGACGTCAGCAGTAAAACTAGCAAACTACCAGTTATGTCCATTTGATTGCAACTCATGCATACCGATCTTTGTTCCATAACTTTTCTCCTTCCTTCTGAACCTCCTGTGGCTCCGACCATGTGGGGGAGCCCTGAAAGTCTCAATCATCCATTCCATCCAGGTATTCCGGCTTCAGCAATACTTCTGATGAATTCTTTGACGTTTTAAACATCTGTGTTGACTCTCGACCTACAGTGGGCACTGCCGAGGCCAAGAAAAGATCGGGTCTCAAAGCCCAGGGCGCACACACACTTGTCAGGAAGATGGATACAATCATCTCATTGTAACTCCCAACATAGATAGTAGCTTTGCAATACAAGGAAAAGATAAAATGCACCCAACTGAAGAAGCAGCAGCTTTCAGCTCTGCCTTGGGTTTTGAAGCGAGGATAGGAGTTTTTTTAGGAAGTTGAGAGGAACAGCAAGGAATGAGAAGGGGACATCTGGCAGAAGGAACAACAGCTCGGGCCTGACAACTTGAAGTTGGGCAGCTCCGTCTACTCAAAGGCAAATTCAGAAAGTTCTCTTCCTAGATGGGAAGTGGGTTAAACTTTGGAGTTCTTCCAACCAGGCACTTAATAATCTATTTCCCCCACCTTCGTTATCCTTTTTAATTATTTTCTTTCCTTCATCCATTCTCCCACCTAAGAATCTGGGTTTTCATGATGAAGGATCGCACCTCTTTTATAGGAAAGATGTTAAACTGGTCCTCATTGTGAGTTCTAGTTCCCTTCCCAGAGAACATTTTGTGTTCTTAAAGGAGTTCTGGGGAAAGAGCTGATTGCTGAATGCTGAGGTTCTAGGTACCAGACAGCTTTGGTTAGTACACACGGGGAGAGTGACATTGTCTTACTGCGCAAGACAGACTTTACAACTGGTATTTCTCTCTCTCTTTTCTCTCTTATCTTCTCCTCTCCCATCTCACCCCCCAAATAAATGTTTTATACTTAAAGCACTCAAGTTTGAATCCTCTTTCTACGTTTTGCTGGCCGAAAATGACACGACCTGATGTTGTGTCATTTTTTAACCTCCTTGAACTCTCTTGCACCATTTCGAACAATGGGTTAAATGAGACTGTGTAAGATAAACTCCTTAGCACTGTGCAGTGTGACTTGTGGGTAGGTGTTGACTAAGTTTCCTGAAAGAACTAGCAGTTGGAGATTCAGCCAGCCTGGCCTGACCCTGCCACCTTTACTGGGCCCACACACTTTACTAATAGGTCACCCATTACTTTTACAAACGCAGCACTCTGAGCTTGAGTCCTGATTAATGTCTCAATTTACTTGGAGTGGTTCAGAACGAAAACTTACAAAACAGAGCATCATGTTTCCCTCTATGACTATAAACTTGATGGTTCTTGCTAGCTTTTCCCATGCAGACAATCTCAGGAAGACCAAGTATTGTTTTATTCTGTTGTAGCTCAGTCTCAACACAACAGCTTTCTCTTTGCAGAAAAAGCTACATTTGCTGGAGTTCAGACTGAAGACTGGGGCCAGTTCATGCATATCTGTGATGTCATCAACACCTCCCAAGATGGGTGAGTACAGTGTGTTGTTCATACTCTTGCCGCTGATAAGAATATAAAGTTGCAGTGCATTCTTCTCTTGTGAACTCTTGGATTTTATTTTAACAGTTTTATTGGTTTATAATTCACATATTATACAATTTAATACTTCCAGTCATATTAAGAAGAGTTGTATAATCACTCTTGTTGAGTATTTTCCTTATCCCCAAGGGTAGTGTTGATTATTCAATAAGCAAGGTAAGCATGGGCTTACTTGTGCTTTTTTACTACTACACTGCAGTAAACAATTTCACATGGGCTCACTGCCTCAAGGATTCTGCTTCTAATAATGCCTGACATCTGTTTCAAAAAAAAAAAAAAGTTAAATGGTTTCCCCCTTGAGCAATGGTTCTCAACCTGTGGGTCGTGACCCCTTTTGGGAGTCAAACGGCCCTTTTACAGGGGTAGCCCGATTTATAACAGTAGCAAAATTACAGTGATGAAGTAGCAATGAAAATAATATTACGGTTGGTCGTATCCACCACATGAGGAACTGTGTGAAAGGGTGGCAGCCTTAGGAAAGTTGAGAATCACTGTTCTTGAGGAATTCCTTTAGCTCTACTTGCAAGCGTTTTATGCTGATGTCACTGAGAAGTATTATCCAGAAACTGGTTGACTTCCCGAAGGTAGACTATCCCTGGGAAATCGTCAGGAACCAACCTTGATGGTGTATAGTGGGTTAGACATTGGACTGTTAACTTCCAAGGTCAGGAGTTTGAGACCCCCAGTCAGTCCACTGGAGAAAGATGGCTCTCTCTACCCTTGTAAGACTGGCACTCTCATTAAACCGCCCATAGGAGTGGCTGTGCTCTGTCCTAAGCGTCACCATGAGGCAGAATGGACGCAAGAGCAGTGAGTTTTTGCCACAGGGCACTTTTGTTTGTTTGTTTTTCTTCAGAATGCCAACTTCCTCATGTTCACGCTGAAATGCTATTTCTTACTATTCATTGTGGAGAATTCAAATTAATAGAAATATTTCTGAGAGAGGAAAATCAGTTTGAATTTACAGCCTGAATAACAGGCCATTATAAGGGATACAGGAACCCTGGTGGTACAGTTCTTAAGCGCTCAGTTGATAATCAGAGTTTGGGGCCACCTTGGGAGAAAGAGGTGGCAGTCTGCTTCCATAAAGGTTATAGCCTGAGGATCCCAAGTGGTCAGTTCTATTTTGCTCTGCAGGATCACTGTGAGTCAGAATTGATTTGATAGCCATGGGTTTTGGTATAAGTGATACAATATTGTTGTTCTGTTCATAGTCAAGTGATAACTGACAGCAGACATGTCTAGCTTATGTTGATGAAGAAAATGCTGAACCTAATTATTGATCAGCCATGAACGGAAAGTGCTCATCGTTGTTTCTTGTAAACGTTCCTGTCTTTCCGATAAATGTGCTTACCATATTCCTTCTTTTGAATCTTTTCATTGACAATACCAGTTTCTTCGTTGGTAATACAAACAGAAAGAGAGTCTTACAGAGGAAGTAAATTCAACCTTGTGATGAGAAAAAGTTCTGACTCTATACCATAAAATTGTAGTTTCAGAAGTTAAACTACAGTTCCTCTTGTCTTGCTAACCTCTAGGATCCCTGGTAGTATATTGCATTACGAGTTGGACTGTGTAGTACAAGGTTCGTAGTTCCAACCCACTAGCCGCTCTGTAGGAGAGGAAGAGACTTTCAGTTCCTGTGAAGATTTGCACATACTTTTTTGGTGTACCACACCTTCATTCAGAAAAATATTACTCAGCACTCCATGGCAATTAATACTTTTGTACGATAGTTCATAATCCAATGTAAAGTGTTGGTATATTCAGCATTGGAAACCCCCAGGGGGCAGTTCTGCTCTGTCCTATGGAGTTGCTCTTCCTAGAAGTCAACTCCAAGGCGATGAGTTTGTTGGATATCCCCAACCTGAATAGGCCAGGAACTCTTAATAGTATCAGTTCAAATGAGCATGCTTCATTGTTTTGGAAATTACATGTCCTGTAAACTGGTTTTGTGTACGAAGAGAGGGATGTATAAGCAGGTCCCTTTGTGGTGCTCTCTAGGCTATTGTATTTTATGTAAGTATTTTATTCTCACAATGACGTGGGTGGCATTGTTTGCCTATATACATCAGAAAACTTATACGTAAGAAGTTAAGTGGTCTTCCCAGGGTCACACGGTACAACCTTGGTGAGAGCCTGGGTTACCAGAACTTACCCGTTTCTTTTTCTACAGTGTATGTTCTTTTTCAGATACTGCTTGTTTTAGCAAATACCTAAATTGGTGATTCCACTGTATTTATTGCTGTAGGCCAAAAGATGCAGTGAAAGCTTTGAAGAAAAGGATTTCCAAAAACTACAACCATAAAGAAATCCAACTTACTTTGTCAGTAAGTACTTTAATATTATAATCAAAACTCGAGGGTCTGACAAGCTATTTCTTATGTTTAAATATGGGGGTGGGGAATCAAAATATTCTTAGGGAATTAGATTGAGAAAGAGACAGAAACACTATGAGTTCCAACAGTTCATTTATTGAGCATTGCAGAACAGCGAGAGGTAATAATGAGAGACTGTAATTACATTTAATGTCTTAGGATTCTGGGAAATTGATTTTTTTTTTTTCCTGGTTAGGAACTAGGGACTGGTGGTTAAAAATGTGTATATGCTGAAGCAACCAAGACGTTTGTGTGTGCTTGTTGAAGGTGGTAGGATAGAAGTCTTGAGAACTGCCTCCTCATTAGCTTTTCTACCTTGTCTGAAACCCTGTGTGGAGTCCTGAGATGCTGCCAGCTCATTAAGTTTCAGCCAAGTCCTGCTGCCTGGTATAATTTGAAGAAACCCTCTTTGTTGATTGAAGCAGTTTTCCTTTGTGCCATTTATTTTCTGATTTGGATGGGGAAGTTTACCTGACAGGTTCCCATCCCCACTTCCCATCGGTGGCCATGTGACCTCTCCACTCACTTTTTGGTGAGCTGCCTCTATTACTTGGGTGTGTTTTGTAAGCCCTGTCTCCAGACGCCTGAGAGTGAGCTTTGCGGCTTTCTAATTTCTTCTGCATGCCTATGTTTACCTCAGCCCAGCCCCAGGCCTTGCTTGGTGACTTACCTAATCAGCCAACATCACACAGCTCTTGGGAGCTTTGGGAGTGTTTATCTAGAGAGAACTGTAGGACAGATGGGAGCCTGGTTCCCAGTTTCTAGTTTCATGTGAAGCAACTGTATTATATCTTACTACAAGAGTGAGAGGAATTAACCGAACAATCTGACTGATGCTATTGCTGAAGTTGAGGTTTGAATAAAGGATTAGAGGTGTTTCCCTCTGTCACGTTTTACTGCCCTCTTCCATGCCCCACCCTCTTACAGCTACCTCAGGAAGATTGCAGAGTGCAAGAAACTATGGAGGGAGAGTCAGGTGCTTTCATGGAAATGTTACGGTAGTGATAATAAACCTCTGACTGACACTTTCAAATTACTTACCCACTTGTTGATGTACCCAACAGCCCTGTGAAGTACTTGTATCGTTAATGCCAATTCCACAGAAGACGCTGAGACAAAGAAAAGGTTGTGACCTTTCAGGGTTAAATGACTATTAAACAGGATAGCCAGAATTTGAAATTACATCATATTCTAAGTTCCATACCTATTTCCCCATCCCATATTGTTTCTCAAAATGAATCAAATCTGTCAGGAGAGACTATTGTGTTTCATTGATCATGTTCACCTAATTTGTGTATGGTGTAGAACCCAGAATATTCGTGTATCAGATGTTGATTGACTCATTGACTGCGTGCTCCTCACACTCCACCTTGCCTTTCCCACTCTCCAGACTCAAGGGCAAGGGCTAAAAGAGGGCACTATAGAAAACCGCATCAGACCCATGGCCTTTGGGTCGATTCCTACTCAAAGCAACACAAGGACCTCATACAGCTACCCCATAGGGTTTTCAAGGCTGTAAATCTGTATGAAATCAGATTACCACATCTTTCTCCCTTGAAGCTGCTGTAGGTTTGAATCTCAGACTTTTGGGGAAGAGATCATGCACATAACCGTTGTGCCATCCAAACTCCTAGGTATTATAGAAATAACCTGAAGGTGTGCCCTGAAATACTGTAGATTTAAATTATCTTAAGACAGCGGAAGGTTAGGAGACTTGAGTAAGGAAGGTAAAGGTGGAAAATGAATGCATGCCACCTCTTACATTTCATAATGGAATATTATTTCATCTTCTCTCTTTATAATGAGTTTTTATTGTGCCCAACCTCCTTGCTATTTCCCTATCTCCATATCTTCCACTATTACAGTTCCTTTTTTATGAAGATAAACCAAGAGCCTTCCCTGAGAAAGTTGAGTTATCCTGGAATGTTATTCCTTCTTACTCTTTGTAACTCGCCCCCTCGGTGATTTAATCTAAACCTTGCCGCACCGCTGCCTGTTCTACCTCAGACAACACTTAGATCTTTGCCTTATGATTTCCACACCAGTGCCACGAGAACAGCTGTATCGAAACCTGTACCAAAATAAGGGTCACAGATTAGGGGGAGGCTACCCCCTCCTTGTTGGACTCAGCATCCACACGAAGTTGGGAAAACGCCCACTTCTTGGGTTTTCATTCAGCAGTCCCTGGCCCTTGATACTTTCGGGCAGATTAGCACCCGTCTCTACTTCTACCTACTCACCAGTGCGAGTCCTTAAGCCTCAGAACTGACGTCAGTAGTCATTTAAGCCAAACTTAATGATGTTGGAAATTAGTTGCAGAAGGGATTATCCACTGTCTGTCAAAGGCAATTTTAAGTTTGCCAACAAACTCTTTAAAAAGTAATCCTTATATGTGACATTTCCATTTTCTTATTATGTGGTGATGAGAGCCTTTCAAAATCAATCATAGATGTTCTCTGCGTTCGCTGTCGTTTTGGATTCTCTGTGGACTTCTTTGCCTTGATTAAGCCTTTGATGAGATTTGAAGATAGGAGATTTTCAATCATCCATTGGTAGAGCGGTTTTGTAGCCCGTAGTCCTTTTGTTTTGTTTTGTTTTAAGATATTTTATTACCAGGCTCTGTAACTCTGAGCCAGAAACTAGCCTTTTCTTGAATGAGTCAATTGTGATGAATCTCAACAAGATACTACTATTATTGTCAAGTAGAAAGTGGTTGAACAGGTTCCTGGGAATTAATTAACTAATAGGCTTTTGTGAAGTACCCACTAAGGGATGAGTTATTGGGGCTTTAGAAGAAGTATAAAATGTGATTATCCATCCAGAGCCTGTTTTGGTGAGAGTGACAACAATGACCTCTCGCCTATAGGTGTCATGTGAAATTGGCCATACTTGGGGGTGGTCCCCATAATCAGGGTGTGATCCTCAGATCTGATAGCTCAGGAAGCCGATTGCTGTTGCTGTCGCTGGGGTTTCAGCTTGGGGGACTGACTTAGCCAATTCATATTAGAAAGGACCGAGTAATAAGTTGGTATCTGCTTTAGGGACTTACTATGAGAAATAAAACTCTTCTCCCACCAGCCTCTCTAAAAAGAGTACTCAGAGTAACTAATCAGCAGATGTTCTCTCTCCTAATAGGGATTCTCCAGGGAAGCAGATGAACAAAATAATTACCTTTTATAGAGTCCCAGTTATGTATCTGGCTCTTCCTAGAGATTATATTTCATTTCATCTGCACAAGAAGCTTCTAGAGCAGTGGTTCTCAAACTGTGGATTGAACCACCCTTTCACAGGGGTCACCCGATTTATAACTAGCAAAGTTACAGTTACTAAGTAGCAACAAAAATAATTTTTTGGTTGGGGGGGGGGTCACCACACCATGAGGAACTGTATTAAAGGGTTGAGGCATTAGGAAGGGTGAGGACCACTGTTCTAGAGGAAGGCATTTTGCCCTTTATGCAGAAGATACACATCCTTAGTAAGAATAAATTATTTGCCCAGTCAAGAGCAAAAGGCCACCAGGAAGCCCGGAGCCTCCCGGTGCAGGCTCTCAAAGACCCTTGTCTCCTAGGGTCTCTAGTCAGTCGCAGATGATGGCTTCTCTTCCCAGAGATAGGTTATCTGAACACATTTGCACCAAGACCCAATTTCAAAATGTGTAAAAGCAGCGTATTTGATTTTTCCCATTTGGCACAAGAGGTTTTACTACTTTATCTCTGGGCTGAAGGAGTAGCAAGAGATATTGGTGGCATACAAGAGGGGGTGATGTAGAAGTAATTATTCCTGACATACCCCATTCCAAAGGGCAGGATGACTCCTTTCCGGAAGTTAACCTTCTCAATATTCCTTGTTGGCTCTTTGATTTTGGTATATGAGCCTCCTGGGAGGGTGACCCATTTTCATAACATCTTGGCGCTCCAAGCATAGAAATTGGTTAGCAAGAAATTTACCACTCATCTGACCATTAGGAGAAATGTGACTTGGAAGCTTAAGTCTGTCGCCTGAGACCTCCCAACCAGCTGGTGAAGGTTTCTCTAAACTCTCAGTGAACCAGAGCCACTTCTCTTTTCAGCATTTCAACCCATTAAAAAGTCATCCTGATAATGTGCCAAGATAAAAGACATTTGTAATTCAAATTTTCAACTCATCTTCTAGCCAACTGGCATTTATCTAAAGACATTTTAATCTGTTGCAGGCTTTGCCTTTATTTTCCTTTGCTTTAAATGTTCTCTCCATGGTTCCCACTGCTGTGGCTCAGCTTCTGTATTTTCTGACTGCCTTCTTGGTCACCTTGCCCTTGAATATTGGAGTATGAAAGTACAGCTTGGTGTAGTGTCATTGGAGTGACACTCAGAATACAGAGCCTGGTGTAAAGTCGATTTCCAGGACCGCTTTTTACGGGCATGATCGCACCTATGTAACCGGGTTGTGGTCCCCGTGACCTCCCTAACATGGCTGGTAGCATAGAAACTAGAACTTTAATTTTGTTTTTAAGTCACATTTGGTGCATGCAGTTCTTCCATAGCAGCACATCCCTTCTGAGCCGGACTTCAGTTTATGCTGCCTTATTGAAAACAGTTCCTTCAAGGTGAATAGTGACTCCACTGATCAACTGTTTGAACACCTCCACCGCTCTGGAAACTCTGCGCGCCTTTGACTTTGTGCACATCATGTTCACTGTATTTTGTTCTTCCATTGCCATGAGTTTCATTTACTGAGTTTGCCTCCAACTTTTGTGAAAGGTCACCCCCAGCCTCCCACTGTGCTCACTCTGCTCATCTCAGGCAGCTTTTCCGACTCCACTCCTGGCCCCACAGTTTCCTGACCTGTAGCAATGCATGTACATGTCTCTGCTAAACATCTCTACTTGAACATCCCATATTCTTTTAAACTCAGGATCCTTGCACTTCAATCCATCATTTTTAGCACTCAGAAACCATACCTCTCCATCCACTTCCAAATTTCCATCAAATGCCATCAACCTCCTGCAGAATGAAAGGCGCTTATGTGTTAGTCTTGATCCTTGTTCAGCAAGTTGTTGAAGCGTCTCCCTTCATACTTCTGGCTTTCATTTCCTTGTATCCGCACACAGCCTTTTCTATGTCATGTGTGTACTGGTGGGTCCCCACTGGATGTCTCCATGCCTCTGGGATCGTTTACCCTCCAATCCCCTTTCTAAATTGCTACCTGGAAACTTGTCCCGAGTATTGTCTTTCACATGTTAATGCTTCTCTGAACCGCTTCTCACATGTTAAGCTTGTGTTAAGAGCGTGATGGCTACAAACTAACAAAAAAACTCTTCATGGATCTGAGTGTTTGTGAGAAGACATCCAAACTGGCCACACTGCCATTCAGCTTATACATTCTGGATAAGACCCGTCATCCCAAAACTATTCTCCCTACCATTCCAGTGCCCCCAAATGCCTATACGAAGCACCTAAGAGACAGAATACCTGTTTTCTTCCTTACAAGTCATGCACTTTGCCACTTTTGGATTTTTTTTTTCATATCATTTATAGCTCTACGGTCATCTTTATTTGTTCCTTTTTCAAACCCCAGCTTTTGCTAAAATTCTTCTAAGACTTGTTGCACCTGCTTATAAAGTTCTGTAGTTAGGATTACTATGTAAATTATTCATCTAAACCAGGACACTTCTGAAAGTGAAAGAAGGCCCCTCAATAAAAGCCAGGACAAACAGACATAAATCATCAGGACTGCCCTGGGAAACTCGGATGCATGCCCTCCTGTCTATAACCCATGTGTTTGGCTTGCACTTCTCATTTGGCACTTGGCATTCACTACCCTATATTGCTCTTAATGCTCTTATATGATTGTGTCCTGACTCAAAGAAGTTTATCCCAAAGCAATTACATTATGCTTTCCATTTCCAAACATCCCCAGAACCTAACACTTTGGCCTCTATTTAAATCGATACTAAATTATTTTTGTTCATTAGAATGCTGGTGAAAATCTTTATTTTGCCTTATATTTGGGAGCTGGTTTTTGCCAGAAAAATAGCATGTTTAATTTCTCTCTCTAATATAGCTTATTGACATGTGCATGCAGAACTGTGGTCCAAGTTTCCAATCTCTGATTGCAAAGAAGGAGTTCGTGAAAGATTGTCTAGTTAAGCTGCTGAATCCCAAATACAACTTGCCATTAGACACTCAGAATAAAATCTTGAATTTCATTAAGGTAAGTCTGCCTTAGACCTCCTGGGACGGTAAACATCTAAGATTAAGGACGTAATTACATACCTGCTGATGGGTTCACTGATCTTTTACAAACTTTACTTTGAGCCAGAAAGCATTCTTCATATTTTATTTTCTGTGTAATAATAGTTTATTGGCATTGGATAGTGCCCCTTTTCCACTGAAGAATTTTAGAATCATATCTCTGCTTTTCTCTAAGTTTCTAGATTATCCATAACAGGTATGAAAGATGGTTGTGTGTGTGTTTATTTTGTAAATATGGGAACTATATTCTGAAGTAATTATCTAACTAGTCCATGATTACTTGGCACAAAAGCTATTTTAGAATCTATTGATTGTGTTCAGTACAACAAATACCAATCAATGACATCTGTCCTAGGATTTCATGATTACATTGATGCATAGGATGCTGCTGATAAGAATATTTCAAGTTATTATTTTAGCCTTTGAAAATGCACATTTTGTCTATGGCATTCAAAAGTACCTCCCATTTTTCTGTCCCCTATGAAGGATTGTATTTTGGTTTTTGCCGCTGTTCTTAATGCTGGAACTTTCTATTCTTGAATCCAGACTTGGTCACAGGGCTTCCCGGGAGGTGTGGATGTAAGTGAGGTGAAGGAAGTGTATCTTGACCTGCTTAAGAGAGGTGTGCAGTTTCCTCCTTCAGATGCAGAGGCGGAAACAACAAGACCAGAGGTAAGAGGCCTTTCCTTAACCCATGTAAGTGTCTTATACAAGGGGAAACGTAGTTCCATCTACCATTAGCAAAAGAGGAACGTGATTAGAAGGATAGTCAGATAGCCCCTACAATAACTGTCCCACCAAAAAGGCTGGTATTAGCTGGACTGTTGAAACAAAAGAGAACCAAGCATTCAAACGCCTTCGATGTTTCTATTTTGCTTTGACGGTCAGCTTCATTCTTCTTTCCCATTACTCAGAGTAGAAAGAGCGTGCACCTTGTCATGTCATAGCGTTCACTTTCCTTCACATTCCAAGTCCAGAATCCTTGGGGAAGAGACACATTGAGTCCATTTATTTCAGTTTCCCATTTCTGAACAAATGGACTGAGATCTTATAAGAACATGGCAGCTCCCAAGGAAGTGAATTACTGTATTAATATATAAAGAGAAGGGGCGCCCTCCCTCTCCCCTCCTCCCCACCTCACCAGTACCCACCACCCACAAAAAAAAAAAGAGAAGGGGGCAGTTGGCAAAAGGAAGGATTGAAGCTGAACAGGCAAAAGAATAGGGTCGACCACACACACTAGTGAGAGCTATTTTTGTGTGTATTGTTACTATCCATAGTACTGGGAATGTTTGCCACAGGAACAAACACGTGTATCCGTTCTCAAGTTTACACATTTTCAAAATTGAGCTTTCAATACATTGAGTAGCTGGTTATAACTCAGTTCTTATTTTTCTACAATTTCCTTAATGTGAAATAGTAGTTCTTTCCTCCTGTAGAGTCCTGACTTGGCGAAATGAACCATTCAGATGTCTACCAGAAGTCTCCTTTGTGAAAGCTATATTTTGATCACTCTGTTTACCTGTGCAAGCAGCTACTGGCCATGAACACCCTGTCTCATCTTTGCCTGCACCTACCAGTGAACCTGCTCACCATATACCTTGTATTTTTCCTTCCAAGGCACTAGGTGGTACTAGCCTAGGATTTAGATATTCCAAGTGTGTGACTTGGGGTATACTCTGGAGCTTGTTATAAATGCAGGTATACTTAACTCTTAGACTACACAGAATCTTCATTTAAACAGGGTTTCCAGGTGATTTCTATGCAAATTAATATCAAGATATACTGGCCTAGATCCCCGGGCTTTGGGCCATTTAATTTTTACTTTTATATTCTACTCTGTTCCACTTTTGGATACAAATGAGGCATTGGCTCGGGGAGGCGTTCATTGGTGGAGAAGAAGATGCTCTGCCGGCTGTAGCTTAAAAAGACGTTACGTGAATTGATTTAGCATTTGTTTTTCACCATCCAAAGAGAGAGCAGGGATCATTTCACATTATTGTGCATCCTGTAGAGTCCCACGGGAAAAGCCATTTGACCAAACATTTAATTAAATTGTAGTTCAGTTAATAATCATCATAGTGACCACCTGTTGTTCGGTGTCTGTTCTGTTCTGAGAATTTCATATGCTTTTAGCTCTCTTCTCAAAACGTTGGGCTGATTGTATACTGGATGATTGCCTCTGAGCTAACACTCTCTAACCAAGGCGGCGGCGGAGGGGAAGTGATTGAGTCAGTTGAGTGAAAACAGGGCATGGAGTGATTGTCAAATCAGATAATATCTTCTCCATATTTCTTATTAATAGACTGCTCCGATCCCGTCTAATCCACCAACATCTGTTCCTACGGCACCGGCCCTTCCTTCTGTAGTCTTCCCTAAGAACTCAACCATTACGTTGGTCCCAGAACAGGTAATAATAGCAACAATTTGTTTTTTTTCTAAGTTCTAAGAATATAGCTCATGTATTCTTCTCTGTGGTAGTACCTTATTATTCTCATTTTATAAGGAGAAAGATGAGGCTTAGTGATGTTATGTGACTTAACCCTTTTCATTCCTAAAGAGACTTTGTCCTGTAAATTCTGTCTGGTTCTTAAGCCTAAGTTCTGAACAGCTGCGTTCTGCTACTTTCATGGCTTTGTGGAAGAGTGGGCAAGGACTGGATCTCTTGTCAGCTTTCCCTTGCTCTTGCCAGGACTGTCCATATATATGGACTATTTCAAAGAGCCTAGTAAGTGGTCATCTTATTACTCATATTATTTTATAACGGATGAATTGTTGCCCCTTTCTTATAGTTCTTTATCAAGGGTCTATATAAGCAATTGGAAACTATATCACAAATATTTCAAATGCCAGCAGGGTCACTCAAGGTGAATAGGCTTCAGCAGAGCTTCCAAACGAAGGCCAGAGAAGGAAGAAGGAAAAGGCTGTCTACTTCAGCGCAATTGGCTGCACGGTGAAGGCATTACTAAAAAACAAGGCTCCCGATTTGATGGGATTCCAACCGAAATGGCTCGGCTTGTGGGTGAAGCACTGGAAGCCCTCACTCCTCTTTGCCAGGATCTTTGCCACCTAACCCACAGATGAAGACATCCATATCTGTACCCGCTCCAAAGAAAGGGGACCCCACAGAATGCAGATCTTACAGAACAATGTCATTAATGTCACATACAAGTAAAATTCTGCTAAAGCTCATTCAACATTCATTACAGAAGTACATTGACAAGGAGGTGGTAGAAATTCCAGCCAGATTCAGAAGAGTACATCAAACGGGCTGTCATTGCTGATGTCAGATCAATCTTGGCTCAAAGGAGGGAAAATCAGAAAAATGTTTATTTGTGTTTTATTGATTATACAAAGGCTCGACTGTTTGAGAACACTAAGAAGAATGGGAATTCCAGAATACTTCATTGTGCTCCACTGACACTTGTACCTGGAACAAGAAGCAGTCCATGCAGACAGAACAAGGGAATGTTGCATGGTTTAAAATCTGAAAAGTGTGTGTCTAGGTTGTATCCTTTCACCATATTTATTCAATCTGTGTACTGAGCAAGTCATCAGAGAAGCTGGAATATATGAAGGAAAACAACATCAGAATTGAAGGAAGGCTTGTGAACAATCTGATGTATGCAATGACACAGCCTTGCTTGCTCAAAGTGAGAAGGGTTTGAAGCAGTAGCTGATGATGATCAATGAGTATAGCCTTCAGTATGGATTACACCTCAAGGTAAAGAAAACAAAAATCCTCACAACTAAACCAATAGATAACATGATAAATGGAGAAAAAATTGAAGTTGTCAGGAATTCATCTTGCTTGGAATCACAGTCACTGCTCACAGAAGCAGCGGTCAAAAGATCATAAGACACATTGCATTGGTTAAATCTGCTGCACAAGATCTCTTTAAAATGTGGAAGAACAAGGGTGTTACTTTGAGGACTAAGGTGCACCTGACCCAAACCACGGTATTTTCAATCACCTCATATGTACGTGAGAGTTGGACATTGAATAAGGAAGACCAAAGAAGAGTCAGTGCACTTGAATTATGGTGCTGGTGAAGAGTATTGAAAGTCCCATGGACTGCCAAGAGGAGAACTAGATCTGTCTTGGAAGAAGTACAGCCAGAGTGGCCCATGGAGCCAAGGAGCTTGCACTTTGTCTCAGGTACTTTTGACATGTTTTTAGGAGAGACCAGTCCCTTGAGAGGGACATTGGTAAAGTAGAAGGGCAGCAAAAAAGAAGAAGACACTTGATGAGAAGAATTGACGCAGTGACTTCAACAGTGGTCTCAAATCTAACAACCATTGTGAGGATGGCACAGGACCCGAAGGTGTTTTGTTTTATGTAGAGTTACCATGAACTGGAACTTGACAGCTCCTAACACCTACATACAAGCAATTGCTCTGTGAAGTTTAGTTCTGCCCAGTTATAAGGGAGCTATCTATAAAGACTTTGTACTATTCTGGTTCTGAATTCCTCATAAGATTTCATGTAATTAATTCTTCTTAGAATTTAATCCAGGAAAAACATTGTTATCTCTTGATTCTTTTTTTAATACCAAAAGAATTTTAAAAGCCTTCAGCCTCCGTTGTTTGACAAGAAAATCCAGACGAGTATTTGCTTTTGTTTTTAGAGACTCTCATCCAGGTGCCTGCAGTTACCTCCTTCCTTCTCAACATCAGTTCTCATCTGACAACTTTTTTTTTTTCATTTTTCATTTTCCTGCGGCATATTTCTTTCTATCTCCTTCCTTTGCAACTTTCCTAGAGCATATTTTTGGGTTATTACAAAAATGGCAAATCCTCTTAGTAGATGACAGATTATATGTTTACAAAATAAGCTCATGTATGGTTCAAAATAGAACATAATAGATCTTGCTGATGCATTTTCCCTCCCAGCAAAGGCCGGTAGGGGCAGGAAACCAGGCATTCGTTTTTGTGTGGCACACTTCCTGACTTGCGCCTGTGTTGCTCTCTGCAGATCGGAAAACTGCACAGTGAGCTGGATATGGTGAAAATGAATGTGAGCGTGATGTTCACCATATTATTGGAGATTACCCCCGGGTCTGAAAACCAGGAAGACGTACAGCTTCTTCAGGTGTGGTGTGGTTACAGGGTCAATCAAGTGGCTCTAAAAATGTTTTCTAAACTCCGAGTCTTAGAGATGTGTGGCCATCTTTCTCCCTTTTAACTTGAATGATTTCTAAGCTTCACAACCGTTTTTAAGGATGATTTTATTAGAAGTGCAATACTCACTTTGCCATTGTCCTAGCTCTCTTAAATAACTTATTACCATGGTCATAGACACCCTCATCTTAGTCTTTCACGGTTTCTTGAGGGTAAGTAAAACATCTTGCTACTTGGGTCCTACATCATACATGTGCAGGTTACTCCAAATGAAATACCCTTGAACATGTCTCCGTGCTCAATGGATGGCAGCAGATAAGTAGTTCTGTCAGTGAAACACTTAATCTCATTAGGGGACCTTTATAAAGAGACTGGCAGCCAAGCAGTTTGATGTGATAAGGGATATGGAAATGAGGGGACTGTTTCAGTCCTTAGAAATTTAAGTCTAGTGAGCAAGACTGTTTTTCTAAACCCAAGTGTAGTGGCACAATAAAGTACTGTTTTGCAAATAATGCAGCAAACTGTTATAGATACTCGCATATAAATTAATTGATGGGTGGAGTCAAGAAGGATGTTGGGAATCGGGGAAAAGATTTAGAAGACACTGATACACAGGCTCGAGGGAACAGACAGACAGCACTTGGGCCTACCTGAGCAAGAGAGGAATCTAGAAATGAAAATTAATCATGACACTGCATTCACATGTAGTAATCTTCTTTAAAAGGAACCCTGGTGGCGCCATGGCTAAGAGGTCTGCTGCTGGTTGAAAGATCCGGCTTCTTCTGCCCACCAGCTGCTCCACGGCAGAAAGATGGGGCATTCTGCTTCTGAAAGGATTTAAAAACAAACCAGCCCACTGCCATAGTGCCAATTCTGACTCATAGTCTACAGGACAGAGTAGCACAGTCCTCCGGGGTTTCCAAGACTGAACATCTTTATCAGAGCAGACTGCCTCCTCCTTTTCTAGTGGAGAGGGAGACAGAGTCACATTTCTTAGCAGCCCAAGTTGCAACCCACTATCCCACCAGGGCTGCTTTTAGCCTACTCTGTCCCATAGGGTCCCTGTGAATCAGAATCAGCCTAACTCTACAGCAAGAGTTGGTCTTTTTTTAAAGTCTCACGTGGGGACTTTTGCAGATAGGAAAATTCTAGTAACTTGTGAGGTTAACGGGAGCCCTGGTGGTGCAGGGCTGAGTTGTCAAACTGTGAAGCAATCTGAACCTCTCTTCTCCTTTAGAGAAAAATGAGGCAGCTTGCTCCCATGAAGCCTGACCACCTTGGAAACGCAGAGGGCAGCTGTACTCTGATCTACAGGGTCATTAACAGTCAGAATTGGTATAATGAGTTTTGCATGTGTGTAAAGTTAGCTTTTTTTTTTTTTTTTTAGCAAATTCTTTAAGTAAAAATTAAAAATCGAAGTGAGGGAATATGTGGCAGATGGTATTTTGCAGAACTGGCTCAGCTCTATTTCACGCTCTTTCAGAGCTCCAAAAAGAAAGGATTCATGATTTTTTTTCCCCAGCAGCCTGCAGCAAATAATCCTCCAGTTAAAATGTTCACTGTAACTTTCCCTTTAAATCTGTGAATCCCGTTTTAGGTCTCAATCCTCCTGGAATACACTGAAATGCCTTATTTTCTCAGAATCCTTTGATGCAGATGTTTGGTTAAATTTTGCAAGGATAAGGCTAATTTGCTGCTTGCTGTTTTCATGCCAGAACTCCAGGCAGTGTGCTGCTTTGAATAGTAAAGAGACTCAGGTTATAAATCAACATTAGAATAATACTCATGGCCAATTCTACTTCAGTGGGTTCTGGCATCAGCTCAACTTGTTTACAGAGCCTATTGAATGTGTAATTTATTTTCCCTTCTTTGCTTTTGTTATTATGCCATTGAAATCTGGTATGGGGGATGCTATTCTTAATTTTTTGGACAAATATTTGGACAGAAACTCTTTTTTTTTCTTTTCTTCTAAATACCCTCCTGCAGTTGATCTGAAACCTGTGGTCAAAACTCCTGAGGAGAGAGGGAACAAGGGGCAAGAGTGAAGCCAGCAAAAATAGATGCTGGAGAAACGTAACAATGCTTTAGTTTTCACTTTTTCAAAGGGTTTTGGCACACCTGTCTGAAATATTCAAATCAATAGAGTTACAACCTCAACTGTTGAGATCCCTGGAGGTGAAGCATGAGGTGAAGCTGGCACTCAGCCTGGCTGCCCTTATGTTACTCTAGGGCAGCGGTTCTCTACCTTCCTCATGCCGGACCCTTTCATACAGCTCCTCATGTGGTGTGACCCCCAACCATCAACTTATTTTCGTTGTTACTTCATCACTGTCATTTTGCTACTGTGATGAATTGCGCGATCCCTGTGAAAGGGTCGTTCGACCCCCAAAGGGGTCTCAACCCACAGGTTGAGAACCTCTGCTCTAGGGGTTGGGGGACTGCAGCACAGGCAAGCTTAGGGGCATCAGGAGGGGCAGGCATATGAAAGCCAGTGCACAGCTGATGTGGAGGAGGGTGCAACTTACTTGAATTCAACTCTGTGGATTTTGTAAGAGGCATTTCATATTTTTTCCTACCACCAGATAACAATAATATGCTGATCTTGGTAAAATATTCCATGAGTCACCCTTTTCCTCAAATTCCACTGGGATGGCAAAAAAAAAAAAAAGAAAGAAAATAGCCATAAATGCTGAGAGTTAAAGGGAAGCCTGGGCAGACCATCAACAGATCAGAACAATGAGAATATTCAGAGCTTTGTAATGCAGATGAGATTACTGGGAAACACATAAAAGAGACCAGTCCAAAGAGACATTCCTCAGAAAAAGAAAAAACAACCCTTAAGAAAACCTCAAAATCAAAGTAAGATAAGCCAGGCCTTGGACAGTGTGAGGGAGATTAAAATAGCTGCTGCGTCTGTCCCCTGCTGTCTGACTGCCAGCTTGAAGAGTGAGGGACTTCCAGGGTGAGTGTCAAGGCCAGAGAAACAGGCTGGCCTCCAAGTGAGGACAAGTGGTTGCCAAGAGAACACGGGAGTCTCTGCAGCCAGAAGAAAAGGGATCAGCACTTTCTGGGGTCCTTACGCTTTGACAGCTGGAGAACCTCATCCGTACAGACAATGCTGTCCTAAGGCTGGATGGCACCCAGCTATTGTAGTCTAAAGATGCACTCAGTCTAGGAACTTGCGGTGTGAGAAAACCTGCTTGAAAGGAACCTGCTGCTCTTACTCCGTATCCTCTACACACGCATTCATGCAATAATGATCAATGCACATCGGTGGGCCTGGCGTATTCGAATTGCCTGGGGAGCTCAAAACAACACCAACAGAGATGAGGTCCTGCCCTAGACTGAATAAAACTTTCTTTTAGTCGAACTTCAAGGAGCAGCGTATTGCGTCAGTATCTCTCACTCCCAAGCCTAAGGTGCTTAGAATGTGCAGGCACAGAATTGAGGATGGCTGAGAGAGCCCTGGTGCGGTAGCAACTGACATGTTGGGCTGCTAATTTGCAGATCAACAGTTTGAAACTACCAGCCGCTCCACTGTGTACTCCGGTACAGAGCAGGGTTGCTGTGAGTCAGAATTAACTGGATGATAGTGAGTCTGTCCAGTAGCTAAACCTGAGGTGCAAAAATAGCACCAAAGAAAGACGTGAACTCAAGAAGTGGATGAGCTTACTTCTAAGGAAACAAGGAAATGGATAACATCATGACTTAGAGGATAATAACATTATGAAATTTTTTTCCTTAAAAGAAAAAAAATTTAAAAGATGGCTGGTCTGAAATAAAAGCAGAGTTCCTGAAATTCAAAGTTTGATTGCTGAAGTAAGAGACTTAAGACGACAGTTGGTTTTTAGACTGTCTCATATCCTTCATGCTTCCTTTTAAAAGCTTTTTTTGTTTGACCTTTGTCTTTCTGTCTTACAGTTCACTCATTTCTTCAGATCCACTCTTAAGCTTATTAAATCTCTCTTTTGCCATCTCTTCTGATATTCACTCCATCCAGTATCTTAGTTCTCATTCACTACGTTATCCATTTCCAGTAGTTTGATTCTTTTTCAACTCAGTCGTCATTTCCCTCAATCTCTCACTTCTCATTCTGGCCTCTGAGTCTGTATTGAACAGGCTTATTTTATGGGTTCTCTGATAGGCATGTCACTACAGGTCATTGGAGATCTGCTTCTAATAGCTTTGGTTTCTGCTAATGACTGCATGCAGTGCCCCGAAGAATTGTGTTCCTTCAAAAGTGTCCAAGTCCTAACACCCCAATCCTGTGAGTATGTTACATTCTGTGGTAAGAGGGACTGTAGAGTGGTGATGAGGTTTAGGATCTTGAGATGGGGAGAATATACTGGAACCCCCAGGTGGACCCGCGTCATCACACGAGTTCGAATGAGAGGGAGGCAGGGAGGTGAGCATAAGCAGTAGGTACTGTTAAGATGAAGGCGAGCTGCCTTACAGGGAAGGGACTATGGAGCCCAAGAATGCAGGCGGTCCCTAGAAACTTAAAAAGGTAGGGAAACAGATTTATCCCTAAACCCTCCAGAAGGAAGGCAGCCTCCCTGAGACCTTGGTTTTAGATTCTCACCTTCATAACTGCAAGAGCGTATTTGTGTATTTATGTTGCAGCAGCAGTGGGAAACGAATCCACTGTTTGTATTACAAAACCAGGTATAGATTTTTGTACTTGATGATAAGTAGGGTGCTTCTATAACTTTGGGATTAAGAAGTGGACAGAGGATGGGAGAGTGTTGAGAAGCATGCTAGAAGAAGCCCAGATTGCCATAGGACTCCTGGTGGCAATATGGAGTTAAAGGTACCCCTGGTCAGGGCTTTGAAAGATGTGAGAACATGGTAGAGAAGAGCTGTCACCTTAGAGAGTACTTGTCAAAAACAGATTGTTGGTAGAAATATAGACATCAAAGGTGCTGCTTCTGAGGGTCAGAAGTTCAAACAGGTGGCATGCACAATTTGGGT